ACGCTCTAACCAACTGAGCTACGGGACCGGCTATTTTTTTCATATTCAAAAAATATATCACCTGCCATGTAACTCATCCAGCTAAAATGGGCGCTTTCCGCGTCGTTGGTGTACCCAGGGTATATAGAACAACGGGTACACCAACGACGCAAAAAGCGCCCATTTTACCTGGATGAGTTACATGGTAGGTGAAACATTTTTTTGAATATGGAAAAAATAGAGTATTCTATCCTGAGTCCTGACGAGTAAAGCTAAATTCATAAAGCAGTTATTTTTAAATTAAATGTACCAGAAATAACATACTAACCATAGTTTAAAACTTAGTCTAAAGTTAGTTGAAAAGCGTATAGTTGATACTAAGATGGAAGGAATCAATGGAAGGCAGAAATGGCGCAGCTGTTTCATTCTTAAAAGGTGTTCGCAAGCAGGATTTATGTGATGCTAGCGACATCTATTAATGTAATCGAGGACGCTGATTGGCTGATTGAGTCCGTGAGCAGTATCACTAATTTGCGCCAGTACAGGGTTGAGGCAATGTGCGCATGCGGAGGAACTTAAGCTCTCATGGAGGGGCTAGTACCTCGGGCAGTACCTCGGGCATCCGCAGTACCTCGGGCAGCGCTTAATGCTTTTTGGACCTGTTATGGCATCCGCATCGAAAAACGCTAGAAGGTTGTAGAGGAAGCTTGAGACTACCTTTCCCCACAATAACATTGTCACTTTATCTTTTAGCTTACGTGTGAGGCTCGCTTGACAAAGGTCGATTTAACATGGGAACCCTATGGGGTAGTAGTTTTTGAGCGCCCATTTGGCTTAATGCTACCAACTGTTACTGACTACCCCTGGGTGTACCCGTTCTATATACCCTGGGTAAGAGGACGCGGGCGAGTACGCATCAGCTGTTTCGGTTGCCTGGCGACGCGGGTTGGTCGAGTTCATGAAGTGACATGAAGCCGCCAGTGCGTGTTTGTCACCAACGGAACGTGAGCGTTGTGCGGCGACGCTGTTGAGTTTAAGGCGATGAATATTATTTTGGAGCGTTGTGATATTATTTTGGTATGGTACAATGATTTTGATGCTTGGCAGTTGAGATAAGGTACATTTCCTTGATTGTTGTGGGAAGCTTGTGAGGTTTTCTGGGAATACTGTGCAGTGCAAAATTCTGTTTGTGAAGTTTTTAGTTTTGCACAATGTTTCGGGGTTGTTTTGTGCGCGAATTGCATGTACGGTAAGAGGACGCACTGTTCAGGAGGGTAAGAGTACGCAGAATAATACATTATATCGAATATACAGAAATTTACAATTATTAATATATCGCTCAATGACGCTTGTATGTAGGTATATCATCAATGGAGCATGTGAGGCAGATGCGTACCTGAAATTCTAAATACGAGTTATTCTCCCTTTTTATTGTACAATTTTTAGAGCCACATGACTTCATTACAACTTACAAGTCACGTGATTACGTCACAATTACAATATAAGTAATTACTCTATCATTTGAAGTGCACTGTCCAGTAAAGTAAAATTAATGCGACACCTGCCAGCGTTGAGAAAATGCAAAAATGTGTCGTCAATTTTAAGTTACATAGTTTTCTTAAAAAAACGGCCAAAGATTCCCCAACTGCCCCTAAAGGCCGCCGTCCACTGTGACGGAATTCCGTCCGGAGTCCGTCCGGAATGTCGCCGCACGCTGACCGCATCCGGACCGCAGACTGAAAGCTCACGGACACTTGCTAACACTTTGTGAAGAGCAGTTATCAGTTATTACAAAAGAAGACATAGCAATTTACTAGCATGACATAGTGCTGCCATGTCAAGGAAATTATTTTTACTTACTTCATCTCGAAAGAGTTGAAATTCTTTCTCAAATTTGCAATTGAAAACTCGAAGACGGAAGACGGTCCCTGTCCGCGTCCGTTCCGCCTGCGTTCTCCGCAGAAAAGTTCAACCTGTGGGACTTTGTTATTTCGTTTCCGTGGCAACCGCTTTCGAAACGCTTGCGGACAGCTGACGGAAAATCAACAGCTGATTGCCGTTCGGATGCGATCCGCACGGAGCGCACACGATTTCCGTACGGACCGGATGCGCCCATAGGGCTCTGTGTTAGATTCCGTACGGACCGCAAGCGTTCCGCATAGTGGACGGCGGCCTTAAAGGTAGTGTGCCAGCTTTCCTGGACCGTATGGAGTTAATGATCCGGATAAGGAGAACCGGATTTTTAGAACTTATCCCTACCTTCAAAACTCATGGAAACGTCTTGAATTCTTCAAATTTTGAGTACCCCAGTGCGAACTTCGCCCCGACGGGTTGTCGGTCGTACCCCAACCACATTTCACACCACTATGAACAATAAATGCACATACTAAAATCGCTATTACCGATAGGCTCATCCAATCAAGTTTCGATAAACCCGTTCATCATCATCTCCTGCGGTTTTGAACACGCCTGTTAGCGGGCTTCTGCTCATACTTTGTGGTGCGGTGGTGGTGCGTCGGGCCGCGCGATCTGACATCGGCCAAGAATAATGCGTCAGCTGATCATTGTCATTTCTGCCACTTTCGTGTGGTGAGATGGGGTCAGAACTTAAGAAACGACTGTTGCATGTCAGTTATTTTACACAAAATCATATTTCAAACCATAAATTAATGTTTAAAAGCCAAATGTAAAGAAACAATGCCAATACAGGCTCACAGTTTAAGTTCGACATTGTGTTGTCTTCGATTAGACAGCTGATAACTCATTCCCGTGAGTCGCGTGTTGAACGTTCGTACCTGCGTTTTCTAGTTATCTGTGCGGTATTTTTCAGTGTGGGGGTTTTGCCATTTGTATTATTTTCAATTTCAATTTATGAGACATGACCGGCAACAAGTGCTTTTTTGTAATTGGCGCAAGAGCAGGGGGAAAAACATGGGCCAGAGGAGGAACGAACCTTGCACAGGTTAGTAGGATTCCAGGACAAATAGTCGTATCGCAAATCTGCGTCAATCAGTTCTGAGGCATAACAAATCAACAAAACGTAACCTAAACCTACCTAAAATAACCTAATCAAACCTACTCTAGCCTTGATTTGCCCCAATAAAACAACTTTATGAAAAATTTCAGTGGATGAACATTTGTCCGGACGAAGATTTGCTGCTGATACGGCTAGTAGGCATATCCAAACAGTTCTTCGTCCATGGAAAATTTGTGAAAAATAATTTTACTAGTGCAACTCCAGGCTTGGATAGATTTGATCACCAGATTATGTTTTGTTTGATTTAGTTGATTTGCTAAGCCTCAAAACTGATTGACAAATATATGCGGTAAAAAGATTTGTCCAGTTGTAGGTTAGTAGGGGCACGGAATATATAGTTACCATCAGGAGTTGACAAGATCAAGATTTGCTGTAACTGCTTTGCTTTTGCCAACCTGATAGTTAAGTCTGTATGATCAGATGTGCAGAATTTCCCTGCGATATGACAATGAAAGTATATTTGATGATGATACAGGAAACTTATGGAAACGTAAACAAACATGCAAAGAAATAAATATCCTGCAACCTTAACAAATGGGGAAATTTTTCCAGCAAGTTCCTTGATTTTTGGTTACACATACCTGATACCTGATACCTAATGAAAAGGATCAAATCTTGGATCAAATGAGGCAATAGGATGGCCTGGTAGATCTGTCTGATTGATCTCGGGACGCGTCAACAAACTTGGTCTGTTTGTTTGTTCGGTGCTGCAGTTCTCTCCAGTACATATGCATATGCATACAAAATACGCATATGGCAATACTAGTCAAAGCTCTTGTCCATTCAATGCCATAGACTGTGTTCCGTGGCAATATCTGTAATGTGAAAACTTTTTTATGTAGCAACTAAAAAGTTGAAAGCTGCATAATCGGTGTTATTCCAAACCTCCCTTTATATGACATACACCATTATTGTTTCAAAAGATATTTATTCGGTTTAGGCAAAGCTAAAACTGAATAAAAAATAATGTTCAGCTTATTAATGATAGTCATTTTGCAGACCAACACTGAACACATGATAGTTATGCTGTGCTATTGATAGTCATGTTTGTGCTAATTGAAAATGCCTAATTCCAGCAATGATATGCATTGTAATAATTTGAGCATTGTTTCCATCTGGGATGACACGTCTTTCGATGAGTGTTCCTACATATCCTTCACTATTTCCTGACCTTGCTTTGGGCTCAGAATGGAAATGGGAACCAAACCAGGTGTGTTAGCCAGGTGAGTTCTGTTACAGGATACCAGCTGCGGCTGACAGCCATGTTAAGGCTGCGTGGATGGCTGCGTTGGGGGCCACACAGGAGGACAGCAGAAATCTACGTGTGTGCTCCCAACACTTTGCGGTCGACGATTTTCAGCCATCTGGAAACCTGAGGAAGTCTGCAGTTCCATCACTGGTAAGTGATATACAGTTGATACACAGTATTTAATATATATATATATATATATATATATATATATATATATATATATATATATATATATATATATATATATATAGTTAACAGACCAATGCCGATAATAAAATATTGTCGAAAAGTGTGAACGATACGCCGATTTATTATTCTGACGAAGATATAAGCATACACATATATCGAAACGTCACAAACGAGTCTGTTCTATATATATATAATTATATATATATATATATATATATATATATATATATATATATATATATATATATATATATATATATATATATATATATATATATATATATATGGACGATGGAATCATAAAATTTTGCTGTTCTTTGGAGGAGGGATCTACGGTGGGACTATAGGTTTTTGCTTCAGCCACTTACTACTCGAAATGAAACTACAGATTCTGTTTGCTTAAATTATGAATTGGTTATGTTGGCATATCTTGTTTTGGAAGTCTCGATTGTTCGCTATTCCAATGCCATTGCCAATGATTTTCGAGCTCTAACGAGCCCATGCATTGCAGAGCAGGCTGTGAATAGACCATAATTTTTTTTCCAGGCACACGGGGAGGCTCGAAAGCTTCCACAACAACACGCTCGTCTACACCCCGAAGCAAGTGTTTTTCTGGTAAGAAACACATTGGACATTTTGTTTTGTCCAATATTTACTTCATCTTGATTGCGCACGGTTTTGACAACTAGCATGGCCACAAAAGCAATGTAGTAAGTCCTGAATGATAACGTTAAAAGCATGGGCCAAAGGATTCATTTCTGCCAAACAAGTTGCCATCAAAGCTAAGCATATGATCGCATGCCGCATCGGGAACTACTTATGTTGCGAGTTACATGAATGCAGCTGTGTCAAATAGATATTAAATGTTGCATTTAAATCACAGGCCGGCCATGTTCACGGCCAGGAAGCACATGGCCGTCATCGACTATGACGCCAACATGGACCGTCAAATCCTGAAGGGAGACGACGGCAACGACCGGTAAATTTAACACCTCATTACGGGATAACAAAAAGCTGCCCAACATTGTTCCAAAATGTACCCTCTGATCAACCTTACCGCTTTCGGGGTACGTGTGCTAATCACCTGTAACATTGCTTCAGATAAATCAGAATACATCGTCCGATTAACCTTACTCTTTTTAGAACCTGCCTTCCCTGCTTTGTCTTGCTGTTGACTTAAGCCGTTTCCAATACTGGGTAGCCGAAGTACCTATGGGGTTGCAATCGTGTCAACGACACCAAATATCTCGCGCTAAGTTGAGGGCATCTGCATTTCTATCTGCAGGTGTGTATGTATTGTTAATGAAGCCGGGGCGACGAGTTTGTATTTGTTCTCATAAATGGATTAAACGAGTAACACTTTCGCAGGTGCGTGTCGGTGTACAGCCGGGCCCAGAGCCGGTTTGTCCTCCGCCCGCAACGGCAGGCGAAGACCTTCAGCTACGTGGCAGAGCTGCTCACAGCCATGCTGGAGCGTCGGAGAGCAGTCGATGTCGCAACCCCCCGACCGATGTCAGCGAGTGACCCGCAGATCATTCACCCTTACGTTAAAGGGACTATCCCACCTTTAACATGGGGTTTGAGTTGAGATAGCCAAGTTTGCGGCGAGGTTCAGAAACCACTATCTATCTAGGTTGCAACCCCCGCGGCCTCTTGGTGTTGAAGAAATTCGTTCCCTTCATTTGAAAATGGGCCTTGTACAAGGCCCTATCTTCAACATGGAGCGACCGTTAGTGTGACGTCACCTCGTTTAGTCATTCTGATTTAAATGGGTTTGTTCGTTGAAAAACCGCTTAAAACTTGGTCTGAACTTTGTTGTGGTGCCTACAGAGTAAAACGAATCAGCTTTATGACAGTAATGTGGCCTGGGGAAGGAGGTAATTTTGGGCTGTGACGTCACATATTTGAAAGTTTGTGTTTGGAATATGGGAAGCCTAAGATGTTTAATGAAAAATAAATGCCAGAACCGTGTTCCTGGTCACCCAATCTATAAAGTCGGGCACAATTTAACTGGTTTTAACAACATTTTAGAAGGTGGGATAGTCCCTTTAACCGCGGCTCTCGACCAACACCAGAGGAGGTACGGGAGCTCCAGGTGCAGCGAGAGGCACACAGGCGCTTCCCGTGAGTGGCCGGCCCATCTGTGGCACGGCTGAACTCTGTACGGGACGGGAGACCTGCATGAGAGTTCGTGGCAAGGCTATAGAACTCCAGGTAAGGACACCAGCCGTTTGACCTTGAACGCCGCCGGCCGGCCGATGACGTCATTGGAGGCAAGCCGGCTCGGCGGACACACAGGGCGAATGCATAACGGAGGGGCGTTGGAACGTTGCGGGAGCCAGGGAGATATTTTAAAGTGGTTGCATACCACCATTGTTTGTTGATTGATCTATAGACTGCATCCTTTTAAACCTCGATGCATCCTAGGCCTGGATGGTGCGTACATTCGTGGAACGATCACCCCGTCCGACGTCCGTGGTCGAAGCTGTCATAGTATTTAAGACACTAAGACGGGTGCAATAACGGCGATCCGATCCCGTCTCTGGCGAATTTAGAGGGGTCGTAAGGACCTAGGCCGAATCTGACCGTCTATTTTTAGGGAAACGGGGTGGGTGAATTGACAACCGATGGCTTAAGAGATGGTGAGAAGGGATCCCGTCGTCGATTGTTGTTTGACAGACAACAAAGTTGTACTGGGCGTATGACCAACAGAGGTAATGCCTGAACGTAGGCAAGCATAATTGGTCTGTCATATTGTTGAGGAATATACAATGGTAATGGAGATCATTGAGGATATGATCTCTACATTACGGGAATTCACTAATTACTACGGCCCATAGGGGCACCGCCGGAGCTGTTGTTTTGCCATCGGTCCCAGGCAACTCCAGGGAGCTGCAGTACCCGGCGGCCAAAGCGGCCACCTCGTCGACTCGCAGGTCCTCTGGGATTCCGTGATGCTTTAGTGCTTCACCCACAGAAGCACGGGCATAGCAGTAGGATGTGGGGCTAGGTGTCTGTCCACCTCTTCATTCAAAGAACAACGTGTACAGCGCCTGGTCCCGCCGAAGCTCGGTATCGACCGTGACTTATTCACAACTGGCGGATCCAGGAAGCGGTATTGGACACTGCGGGGGCCTACTCCAAAAAGGTTTCTCGGAATTAATTTTAAAAAAACTCTGATTTCGATTCCTTGCGCACTGCTGTGCGGTGTGATTAACTAACATTTCCTCAGAAAAGTTGTGAAGTTTTCATTTATTCTCGAAAATCGATTTCGGGCGCTGCCCTGGTTGTTGGGGAGGACATTTGCCCCAAATGCCTTCCCCTGGATCCGCGAGTGGCCGTTGCCCCACTCCGAGCTTGACTTAAGACGTCTTCAAACCTCACCAGAAACCGATGGTAAGGTGAATTTAAATCCAATAACTCATCTCTGTCTGCCCGCCTAAATATACTACACATGGTACAGCACCTGGCCCTGTCGGAGTAATGAGCTGATCGTGATATTTTCGGCTTTCCCCATCCCAAGCTCGATTACAAACGTTCTCCTTCCCCACCCGATTGCTGATGTCAATTCAAATTCAATGCCTCATCTCTGTCTGCCCGACCATAACCCATTCATTGCACACCGTTCAGCGCCCGGCCCCGCCAGAAGTATCCTAGCGCGCTGAGCAGTTGCCTCCAGCCGCGTCATCGCGAGGCCCCGCGCGGCCCATAAATGAATACATTGCGCGAACAGCCGTGTCGCCCCCTGGTTCGTGGTGGGACGTACTCTGGTGCTTACACCTCGCTGAGCACCTGCTTGAAGCCGGCGTAGTTGTGGTCGGGTGCCGGGTACCGCCGCCTGATACCCCACACCACGCAGGAGGGGACGGCGCGGCGCACACCGCGTCCCAGCGAACCCCACCTGTGAACGGTGTGCACGTGTTGTAATGTATATGGCATTTACTGCTGGAATACAGACAAGAAAATACATGTGTATGTCATCGGACACGCAGTTAATTTGCCACACTGATTTCTGTTGATGGAGACTAGCGACAGGGTAACTTGCATAAACGTGCAATAGAACTGCAAACTGCAAACTCCAAGGTGTCAGTGTAAACATAGCAGCTAGAATGCAATGATATTGGTAATTAATTCTCGACTTGATGCATATCGCATGGCAACACGAGCTGTACAAGACTGGAGGTGGGGCCGACATGTCAATACAAGGGAAAGTTTTCCGTTGGACATTGCGGACAGTAGGAAACTGATATAGGCATGCACGGCATGTAGGTCAGGAGCGGTACATTGCAACCCGAATAGGAGTGGTAGGTGTGGTAGGTGGCCAGAGAGAGTGTGCAAATTCCGAAGCTACCCAATACGTGACCCAACCGCCGGCTAGAGCTTCATTTGTACAACAAATATTCTTACCACCACAGGATGAAGTTGCGGTATGCGTGGTACCGCATGGGCTTGTTCAGGGCGCCGTGGTCGGTGAGGTCCAACGGCCCCGTTGCCGACCGCTCCCCGACGTACATAGCCCCCAGGGACAGCATCAGGGGCTGCTGCGTGAACAGTCGACATTGCTGAAGCAGAGCGTGACAGACGCATTGTAAATCGCAAGAGCAAGAGTGAATAACTCTCCATGGTCGCGGATGAAATAACATGTCCATGACTGCTAGTTTTGAAGCAACGTGATTGCTATGACAGTGCAAAGAAATACAATGGCACGCCCCCCCCCCCCTTCTGCAGTTTTAAACGCCCACAGCGGCTGCGGTTGGTGCAGTGCTCAGCACGCACTGATATTCTTTCATGACGGCGACGCACTGATATATTCGGTACTATACAAATCTTACCGGGTCCGTCTCCAGGCACGGTGACCTACCACAGCACACGCGCTCGTCCTGGGTAGGCATTTCCTGACATCTGTGGACCATAGAAATGAATAATCCCCGTAATTGCGCGGTTGCCGAGCGTTTAACCGCAAGCAATGCCCATTAAACAGCGATTTCACACGTTATGGTCAAGGATACCTTGTCCAGGTTCCAAAACATGTGAGACCAACAATGCATATGACACAATGCACAAATGCACAATGCAACAATGCATAGTCAATTTTCATTACGGTGTAAATTAACACGGACTTGTTGGTAAAGTTTGCATCTCAGCTGAAATACGCGGCGGGGCGCCCACCTCGCCGATTAGCTGACCCGAAGGCTACGGCCAAGACGACGGGGTTGACTCGCTGAGAGAGCGGAAGGCATTTGACCCAACGGAAACAGAAGGCAGAAAGCGGCCAGAATTCCAACGCTGGCCTGTTACGCCGGCCTGCTCAGCATCACTTGTCTACTTACCCCCCGCCCACGACCCTGACGCCGAATCACGTCGTGTAGGAAATCGGCGAACAGTTCACCGACAGAGGCGAACAGTTCGCCGACAGAGCCCGATTTGCAGAAAACGGGTGGGGGGCCCCCCTAATCGTGCGCGGGTCGAAGCTGATCCATGATTCGGCGAACATCGCGAATGAATGGCGAATCTGTTGCGAATAGTCGGCGATACCTTGGCAACAAGTCGGCGCACGCAGCGACATGTCGGCGGCGACTCGGCGACTGTTTGGCGATCATGTTCGTTTATTATAAGTTGGGCGAACGGCCACGAAATTTTCATTTTTCATGAAATATTCGTGGCGGTCGTGACGAACCGTAAAAGTCGCGCGGTGGACAACGACTGGTCTGCGAAATGCCAAAACCGTGGAAGAAAGATCCCGAATCTGTCAGCGACATAGGATGACTTGCATATTCGTGCACATTCGTGTACCAAAATTCGGCAGTGTAACAAGGCTTGTTACACTGCCGAATTTTGGTACACGAATGTGCACGAATATGCAAGTCATCCTATGTCGCGGACCGATTCGGGATCTTTCTTCCACGGTCTTGGCATTTCGCAGACCAGTCGGTGCCCACCGCACGACTTTTACGGTTCGTCACGACCGCCACGAATATTTCATGAAAAATGAAAATTTCGTGGCCGTTCGCCGAACTTAAAATAAACGAACATGATCGCCAAACACTCGCCGATTCACCGCCCACATGTCGCTGCGTGCGCCGACTTGTTGCCAAGGTATCGCCGACTATTCGCAACAGATTCGCCATTCATTCGCGATGTTCGCCGAATCATGGATCAGCTTCGACCCGCGCACGATTAGCGTGTTTCTTTTTTCCAACCAAAGGAAGGCGCTTTACCCGAAGATGCTTCTTGGTAAACAAACCAAACAAAAACAAACATAACCTAACCTCACCTGACCTAACCTACAACCTACAAACCTACAACCTACAACCTAACCTACAACCTAACCTACAGACCTACAAACCTACAACCTACAAACCTACAACCTAACCTACAACGCGCCAAAAAGTTCGGCCGGCGGCGGGGATCGAACCCTAGTTATTAGATCACGAGGCGAGCGTGCTCACCACTACACCACGCAGCCAGCTGGCCGGTGAGAGGTGTAAGTCACTTTTCAATGACGCAATGGGATATTCTCCGTATAGCGCCTTCCTTTGGGTGGAAAAAAGAATTACGCGCACGATTAGGGGGGCCCCCACCCGTTGTCTGCGAATCGGGCTCTGTCGGCGAACTGTTCGCCTCTGTCGGTGAACTGTTCGCCGATTTCCTACACGTTGTGATTCGGCGACAGGGTCGTGGTCAAAATTCGGCAGTGTAACACGGCCTTTAAGGCCGTGTTACACTGCCGAATTTTGGCCACGACCCTGTCGCCGAATCACGTCGTGTAGGAAATCGGCGAACAGTTCACCGACAGAGGCGAACAGTTCGCCGACAGAGCCCGATTTGCAGACAACGGGTGGGGGGCCCCCCTAATCGTGCGCGGGTCGAAGCTGGTCCATGATTCGGCGAACATCGCGAATGAATGGCGAAGCTGTTGCGAATAGTCGGCGATACCTTGGCAACAAGTCGGCGCACGTAGCGACATGTCGGCGGTGACTCGGCGAGTGTTTGGCGATCATGTTCGTTTATTATAAGTTCGGCGAACGGCCACGAAATTTTCATTTTTCATGAAATATTCGTGGTGGTCGTGACGAACCGTAAAAGTCGCGCAGTGGGCACCGACTGGTCTCCGAAATGCCAAGACCGTGGAAGAAAGATCCCGAATCGGTCCGCGACATAGGATGACTTGCATATTCGTGCACATTCGTGTACCAAAATTCGGCAGTGTAACAAGGGCTTTAGTAATGATAGCTTTCAGAAGACTTCAGTCTTCCTTCATCAGCCTGTCAGGGCTCTAAAAATACATGCAAACGAGTAGTGACCAACATAGAAAAGACAATACACAAATGTCGTACGAAAGCTGCCATTGCAAATAGATAAAGCCGGTGTACGCAATCTTTGTGATACGATTATACCAAATATGCTCACAGCTAAGTCGAAAGGTGTCGCCATGCATCACAATTGATAAAATTCCTTGAAACTTCTTTTCAACACATTGTAACGCAACAGTGAAAGAATGAGAAAGCATGAGGCTGGCCCACCACCCAGTCAAGTACAGCAGTTTGCAAATTTGCACACAGTTACTCAGAAAGGCCTTTGTTCACACAATTCCATGCATAATGAAGAGCCAATTTTTTTAATGCACACGATAGTTATTAAATACTTAGCCAGCACAATTTGTAAGTCTTTAAATGAAGGGAGAACACCATGGAACCGCGTGAAACCCCACAAGCCGCCTTGTGTATAAATATGAAGCGCAATGTATTGAAACACGAGCGCCAGCTGCGCCGCGCTTCAGCGCAGCCATATCCTAGGATAATTTTCGGTATGTAGTAAAAAGCTCCCAGTTCTAGTTGTATTTCTAGATGATATAGTATAATTCTAGTATATACTAGGAAAAACTTTGGAGTACCCGACTCTTTAGTGCCCTGAGTACAAGCACCAAAGTTAACATAAACACTGGGCAGGGAAATGGTCCCACAACTTAACATCTGGGGTGGAGATCACTACTTCTCCCATGCTGGACTAATGCTAATGAATTGATCTTTACAACTAGGCGGTCATCCTCTTCTTGGGCGAGGCGCTGTATCTCTTCAACGTTCCTGTTGAAAGGAAACAATTCCCCATGGTCACTGGCCACACCGGACATAACATATTGGTATGAAGTGCAATCATGCTGCCAGCAACAAAGGGCCAACAGGGGAGGTCGCCCCTCCACAAGACATATTGGTTCCATTGCTTATGGCTTATGATTATGTTGGACAATGATAGCAATTGGGCCAATAGGCACATATTGTTCACTGCTTGACATCAATAAAATTGTTACCTTTCAAAGGTGGGCTGCCCGAAGAGGGCCCTGGCCTGCTGACGCCGGCTAGCAGGCTGCGGAGGTGTTTGTCCCCTTGGTGTTTGTCGCCTTTGCTCGGTAGCACTGTGAACCATTACATGATTTCACAATCCCTAAAAAAGTTACTCAAATTGGGTGCTGTCATGATTTATGCAGCATCAGGATGAGTGAACATTTTATTTTTACAATACAGAACCAGCAATGATTTAGGTACATTTCACTGTAACTCATGTCCCTGGCACACATTCCTTGTAAACAAAACAAAAATGTAGAAGTTACAACAATAACTTTGTTCCACACTGTATAGTGTATCAGTACATAACTTAAACTCATTGTTGAGGTGACCATAAAATTCATCAAAAAAATACTCAGTGCCTTACAACAGTGCTCGGGGTTACATGAGCAGAGTTAATACGCATTACAAACGGACTACAATGGTGAGCGAATAGGAAAATCCGTTCCTGATACGCATTTACTTGCTCATGTAACCCCGGTAAGTGATTGTTGTCCAAAAGATAGGCGCCTTGGACGACCTCTTCCTCGACCCCGGCCGCGTATTCGCCAATAGTATTACACGAATCGGCCCGACCAATAGCGTGCCTCTTGAGTGACGTCAGCGTGGCGTCATACGTTCGGTCCTCGCCCTTGGTGGAGTCTATTGAAGCTAAGTTTTAATTTAAGGACATTTTAACTCCGTCGTACGTGTTGCCGCCGTGGCGCAGTGGTTAGAGTATCGAAATGGTGATATGTAGGTAGGTGGTTCGAATCCACTTGGCGACACCAATTTTCGTGTTATCTGTCATTGTGCGTTTTTTTTTTTTATACATTTGCAACGGCGTGCACCTAAGAAATCAGAGGTAAGCATTCTTGAAATGAATATGTTGCATACCTAAGAGAAATATTTGCAGTCCAACCGATTGGTTCCGTTTCGGTATTTTCCAATGGTTTTTCTTTGAATTTGGTTTGGTATCGGTGTTCTGATTTTCTGTGATTGACAATTGACATCACTAATGCATAGTGCATACTATGCGAACGTAGCCAATGGAAAGACAAATGGTGCTGGGCGATGACCATTGATCAATATTTCTCACTGCCAATGGGTGATAGCACCGAGCACGCAGCTCCTGCTGGATATGACAGGGGACCTTTTGAAAGTAGGTGGCACTTGGCAAGGTAAAGTACCTAAAAGTAGCGAAAACTAAGCTAAAAATCGCACGCTGGTTAGCATGCAATTAGATAGTTTTCATGTAAGAATTACCATGCACAAAAAAGTTGGGCATAGCTGTTAGCGTAATCAGAGGACGAGATTATCAGTTTCCAGCCGTCAAAGGCGTCATCTATAGGAGCTATGCCTTAGCTATAACTTTAACATTTCTGCCACCAGGGGATCGACAGTATCGACAGTACCGTAACACAATTGGTATTTCAGGTACAGACTGCAACTGCAGTTCTTTTGCAACTCATTCCTTAATCAGATGAATACTTGTCATAGATTTATTGGGCGTACGATATTGGCGTGCGAACTTAGGGCCTAGGGGCCAAAAATGCGTGTCTA